CAGGTCAACAATTTCTGACATTGCCAGTTAAGCGGAAGACCCAATACTATTATGGGCTACTGGACTCTTTTAGAATATTTTGCTGAGTTTACACACCTTTAATATTCAAATAACGGAACTTAACAAAAAAGGGTATACAGATTAATGTCCATTTTGTATCTGTGCATTCAAAATGGTTAGGATAGATATATAGTTGCATTCTCTTAACGAATAGAATGATTTGCTCTAATGGTGTTTGTAAATAGGAAATGGAGTCCGCATCTTGTACAGCAATTAACCACTAAGAAGATTGTATGCAGTGTGTTAATTGTTGAAACTGTCCTACCAATTTGATTTGAAACTGTCTCATTGCTATTTGTTTGTCAATAAACTTATGGCAAAAAATTTTTTCTTGCTATAAAAAATGAATAACTACTTGGAAGAGAACAATAGGCAATGATTTAATTATTGTAGCTTCCCTATTCATCTGTTTTGAAACTGCTTCATTGCTATTTTATCTTCTTTCTTATTAATATGAATTAAAAAGTCTTTTAAGTATAGAGCTATGTATCAGAAATAGAACAATTTTGTAGCAACCACAAGGACACTTGTTAAAATTCCAACATTGCAAAAACAATCTTGAATCAAAAATCAATCAGTCAGGTTTCTTAAAAATCTTTCTCTTCATATGCATTTATTAATTCAGTAAATATTTCTCACATGAAAATATGCAAATTTAATCAAACTCAACTTAATTATTTAAAGCATATTTTAGCCAATTATGCTTATCAAGACTTAATTTATACATTCTGTCAAGGAGGACAGAATATATCTGAAGGGGACTCTTTATTGAAAGTTTCAAACAAGATATACAGAACAACCAGAAATCCTCCTGGAATGTTTTCTGATACATATATGCAAATACATGCACATTCACAAATGGACAAATATCTTTAACCCCAAATCTAGATTTATTCTGCATTTTTCATTCATAAGATTATAATTTTAAATGCATTTAGATATAAATACCAGACTTATACAGAACTCTACATTTCCATGTCTATCTCCATATTTAGGAATCAACCCAATTGCTTTTCAGTTAGTTGAGGTTACACACTTTCATTTAATATTTGAAACGTCCTGTTCAATTAAATTAATAAATTCATGCTTAAATATGTTCAAAGGGCTACAAAACTTAATTGTTATTTAGAATGTAGCATTTTAAAAATTTGTCCTCCAACAGCCTGGAACTTGAAATATATTTGAGTGAAAATTTATAAAGTTACTCATTTGAAATTGTAGAAATGCAGATATATGTCAAGCATACAAATATTAAATAAGGAATATTAGTGTTGAGGAGATGGCTTAGTAGAATAAGAGCTTGCCTGGCAAGTGCTAGGGTCTGAGTTCGATACCAGGTTCTGTAAAAAATAGAAATAAAGAAAGAAAGATTATATTTAATACAAAAATCCTTCAGAAATTGATGAAAATGGATATTCTGCTTCTTCACCCCTCAGTTACTAGCTAACTTTTATTTGTACAACAAGCAATGGAGAGCATGGGTAGATATGGGTTCCATTGCCTGGAACTGGTACTCAGAGAACAATTAAATAGGCAAAGTCTGTGGCTGCAAATTTTGATTATCGACTTTTCAGGTGATAGCTAATAATTTTCCACTTAGAAAGCACAATGTCCAATATTTTTGGCTGACCTTGAGAATTTAAGGACTGTTTCAAAACATACCTAATATTAAACCCTCTAGTGCAATCTATTAGCAACAACTCTAATGGCATCCATGCCACTGGCTTATTGGAAAAGAACTGGATCATATCTGCCCAGGTGGAGGTGGCCTCTGGGATATTGCTAGCAGTGGACCTCGATTAAGTCATGCTGGCTTCAGGTGGAGAAATTGCCAATCAATCATAATTTATGTCTTCTGTTTTTCTACTGGACTCCAGACCACAGATGTAGATCCCAAGGCAAAACTGGTGGCAAACTTCCCCAGGGACATGGGGCAGGCACAGACAATGAGAGCGAAAGCAACAGAACATGCCCCTGAGTGAGAAGCAGTGTCATTCTGAAACACACAGCACACAAAATATTTATTTAAGTGACTCAAAACAAGGTTCCTCTTAACTCAACCTAAAGCTTTACATGTGCATTTAGGATGTTCCCTTTGATTTTTATCTTTCTTCTCCTGCAGCTTCTGGACTTATTGAGTACTTTGGATAATGAAGCCTGCCTTCACCAAAGGAGCACCAGTGTGCACAAGGATGGAGACGTGGTGATTGGGTGTTTCCTGTCTCTTTATTTCTATATATACTACACTGGTACCTTTGGTATAGAACCTCTAAAAGAATTTTATTACATGCCGTAAGTGTTTTTCTTCATTTAATTGTTTTCTTCTGAATGTTAGGAGGAATAATGGCTAGTGATCTTCACACAGGTGTATAAGTATTCTCTATTGTGCTATCCTGTCCTGCCAAACAGTTGTGGAAAACAGACCTCCCTATAAGGTATCACATCCCTCTTATTATACTTTTGAATATGGTACAGTATATTCTTTTTCTTTGTTTGTGTTCCTAGCTTCTTGTACTCACTTTTAAAACCTGAGAAAGACCTCTCTCTCCACCATATTCCATGGTTCATGTCTTTTCTCTGACATAGATGTCATTGCCTGGCAATAAATCATGGCATTCATTTCAGTTGAACTCCTTGGATTGAGTTGAAAGATAAATGGCTATTGTCAAATACTCCATAAGTTGATTAAAGTTTGGCTTATGCTTTTCTTTTTTTAAAAAGCTGAATAATATCTATTTATTTATTTATTTTTCAAAATTTTATTGATAAACAGCAATGAGACAGTTTCAAATCAAATCGGATGTACAGTTTCAACATATAACACACTGCATATATTCTTCTTAGTGGTCACTTGCTGTACAAGATGCGGACTTGTGATCCTATTTACAAACACCATTAAAACAAATCATTCTATTCATTAAGAGAATGCAACTATATATCTATCCTAACCACTTTGAATACACAGATACAAAATGGGCATTCATCTGTATGCCATATTTTTTCGAAGTTCCGTTATTGAATATTATAGGTGTGTAAACTCAGCAAAATATTCAAAATAGTCCAGTAGACCATAACAGCATTGGGTCTTCTGTTTAACTGGCAATGTGGCTTATGCTTTTCTAAATATGCACAAAACTCTGTACATTCTTACACACTGTCTTCAGCCATTTAATCACTTCTACGAGAAGGAACATCTTCCTGTAAATATATAGTTGCTATTTCAAATGAACTTAAGGCTGCTCCAGGACTCCTGGAGCTTCAAGGTGGCCACAGAAAAAGGGAAAAATCATTTGTGAATCTTAACCTTGCAATGCAATTCTTCTTTAGTTCAACGTGTATAACTTTTCTCTATTCAGAAGCTATCTTATCATGTGCGATGTAAAACATATAGATAAGTAATAATTCAGGATCAGAAAGCTCTAGCATATGACTTGTGATATTGTGAGAAAAAGAGATGTCATTTGTGCAGTCATTGCCTGAGTCTTATAGAAGAGAGCAGAAACTTACTGCTATCCTGTCCAGTTCCCAACTAGTATTTTACTTACCTGTCTGGAAGAGACAGATATTTGTTGCTTCTGGTAACTGGACAAATCTTGGAAGCTTCACACACCCTGCTTCTGCTCATGCACTAAGTTGGCCTGCTGCCCCTCCAGTATCAAATGGTATTTAATGGGGCTCAAAAAAGTCCCAAAGTTTTGGGACTTTGAAATTCCATCCGTAGAGATGATACTCTTCCAAGGCCTCTACCAATCAGAACTCCAAAAACCACATAAAAGGATACTCAGCACTGGAATTGAAACTACAGATGTAGAAGCTCTTCAGACCTGGTGATGTAACTTTATCTGCCCTTTCTCTTTCTTCCATGTCTGTGTGTGCTACATACTCATAGTTTATTAAACTTTTATTTCTTTTACTTTGGTGGTAGATGCTTTCATGATTTATGAAACTAGGCCAGTGAGTTCCGCAGCTGTGACTGGTCCCTTTAAATCTGCACTCTATTTAGGAGCAGAAACTGCAGATCAAGTAACCTAGGCCTTTTTTTTCAGCAGATGATGTCTGTCATATTCATAGTCCTTATAATGTACAGGGGTTTACTTTTATTTGAAGACATAATTCTTATGCTTACATAGGTTTTGAGACAGAGATTACTGTTCTGACTATACTGCCAGCAAAGTTCTGGGCTCAAAAGTTTATTATGCTTCAGACTATTGAACAGATGACCTTGCCAGCATTTGTCATTGTACCCTAAATGTGTGTTTTTCTTATATCATTTATCTAAAATTTTTGGTTTTGGGGGCAAGCCAGCTAGCACAGTGGTCTAAAGCACCTGCTTAGGCAAGCTTAGGCAAAAGCGCAGGGACCATGGTTTGATCCCCGGCACCACATGCCACACTATCGCAAACCCCAGGGTGGGCTGAGCTGGCCACAAATAAAATAGAATAAAATAAAATAAAATGTGTGTTTTTAAATATGTTCTCACAGGGCTGGGTAGACAGCTCAGTAGAATAAGTGCTTGTCTGGCAAGCTCAAGGTCCTGAGTTCAATCCCCAGTACCACAATAAATAAATAAACAACCAAATTAATTAATAAATAAATAAGTGCTTACTATATAGAGCTGTAATTCTGACAATGACTACTTAGTGTTTTTTTCTGGGTGACAGACGAGAACGTTTTTGAGGGACTCAGAACTGTGCTCAAAATCTCCTTATCCTTGGGAGAGGATTAATAACTCGTGACACATATTGAAGATTGTAAGAAGGATTGTATTTTTGGGGGGACATAGCCCACAGGATAGAATGCACTGAAAGGTGGTTTTTTTGGTGGGTGGGCAGATTCTTATTAATGAATGGGCTAGTGTGCATTTCATGCTAACTAGCAGCATGTAGAGGGACAGTGAGGGAGTCTAGCTACTGCTTCATAGAATAATAACTAAAGAGATCCCAGGACAATCTGCCATCATCTGAGTACAGTGGAGAGTGAGAAGCTGTATCAGGTACAAGGCATTATCAGAATACAATAATAGTTCAAGGAGGTAGGATTTACTTATGTTCCTAGGATGACAGGATGAGCTACCAACTCTTCTATTGTGCTCTGCTGTCCTGACTTGTGCTCAGAGAATCAAGTGCTTTTGTGGCCCATAAACTGTGAGCTCTATCTGTGGCTGAAAGGAACACACTTGCAATTATGAGGTGTTATTTTTTCCAGGCTGATGTATTCATCAGGAGCAAGAATGTAGGGCCTCAGAAGGGAATTTGGATTCTTGCTAAAATGAGAAGGAAAAATGAAGGAACTTCTATTCAGATATTCAAATGCAGTGCCAATAATATACTTTTGTGCTGTTTATTAATTTAGATTCTAAACAAGTATTTAGTATCTCTGAAATTTTTTCCCATACATGTGTGCATTCACTTAACTTTATTCAGAGAAAAGGCAACTAATAGATGCATTAGTGTGACACACTACAAAAAAGTAACATCTGTGTGTATCTATCAATCATCCATCTATTTATCTTTCTATCTATTAACTTTAGTTTTAAAATAGTTTACACTGTGAATAACCTAATTTAATATTCAATGAATTTCAATTAAATATGTTTAAAAGATAGATGATAATCAGAGAGATCAAGATAGATACATGGAGACAGATATATAGAGAGATATATAGACATGTAGATAGATGATAGATAGATAGATAGATACATAGATAGATAGATAGATAGATAGATAGATAGATAGATGATAGACAGATACACACAGATGTTATTTTTTTGTAGTATGTCACACTAATGCATCTATTACTTGCCTTTGCTCTAAATAACGGACTTCTTTCAGGTTCTCAGTTTCACTGCTTCCACAGATTTTGCAAATTTCAGAGCACTTGTATAGTTTTGTATCTGATATAAAACTTCTCTCTTCCTTCAATGTTTATTAGTGGTGCCAAACTTGATTAAAATTTTAAAAATTAACCTTTACAAAATATTTTAGTGCTTTTGTCTCTTTACTAGAATTTTAGAGTTTTAAAATGTCTTATTGTTTGTTTTGTTAAAGCTGATGCTATACTATATGTTGTTCTCAAAGGAATTTCACTTACCAATTTTATATTAGAAATATTTCTTTTCATTTACTTAGGCTTTGTTTGGCACAGTCCCCGAATTTCATTTTACTTTTAGGTGAGAGCTCTTATTCCTAATGGGATATTCATGCTTACTAGTTGGTCCAAATCTTTCACTCACTCCTAACTTGCTGAATGGTTACCGTGGCTCAGAAACTCCAGAGCAATACTAATTAACTCTGATGCTAACAAAGAAGTCTTCCATTGACAATTTTGTCAATGAAAATTCTCTTCATATACAGTTTCTGTAAGAAACTTCGTGCCACAACACTCAAAGCAGATTGCACTTTGTCGATAGTAAATTCAGGTTACCTTACAGAAATTGCTACATAGGAAAAGGAGGCGAAATTCTCTGGACCATGAATCCTGGGACTGAGCATGGACTTGTATTTCTGAACCTCACTCAGCTGCATTGTGACTCACTGCTTTATTCTTCAACAAACTCTTTATATTAATTTTACTGAGAAACAAATAGCAATGAGACAGTTTCAAAAGCGATTAGTAAGACAGTTTCAATAAATAATACATTGCATATGGTTGTCTTTGTAGTGGTTATACATAGTACAAGACGAAGGCATGTTATCCTGCCCAAATACTATTAGTACTAATACTTGATCTCATTGAATTAAGAGAAAGTAGCTGTATATCTATCCTATTTTGTATATTCAGATGCAAAATGATCCTTCATTTGTATCCCCTTTAATGTTTAGTTTTGTCAGAAATGGGTATTCCACTGCCATGTAAATAGTGTAAGTGTGTAAACTCAGCAAAATAATCTTTAAGGAGACTCTATGCTTGGACTTAGAATTTCAATTTTTCTTTAATTTTATCTTTTTTTATCAAAGCAATTATGTATTTTCTTAGATGCAATATTATGCACTGCCATAATTTATATTACCTAATAACTAAATTAAGTTAAATTAAGTAGATTGATGCATCAAACAACCTATTATTTCTTCACATTCACGAATGTGGATAGAAATTTTGTGTGAAGGAAATTTAATAATAACATTAAGGAAACGTCTTTTTCCTAAAATAAAGAATTTAAATATAAATGGATGCATGTTAATATTGATACTATATATACATCAATACATATACTATTTGATTCTTCCAAACAGGATATTTTAAAATATTACATTTCATAAACATCTATGTAATATACTTCTGTACTTAAAATTTATTCTCTACATATATACCAAGATCATATTAACTGTATAATAAATGACGCAAAAGATGAAGCAACTACTCCGAGAATTCTCTAAGACCACTATCTCCTCCATTAGAAATGCACTCCACTGATTCATCTAAATCTAATTACATTTTAAAAATTCAGTTCCCTAACACCATCATATTCATACTTCGGTTTGAATTATATAGTATGTGGAAAGAACATAGGCATTCAGTCCTTAATTGGTGCTAGCTTAGATTGGAATATGACCATTGATTGGGCCCTTCCCCTAAACATTTCTGTGTTCCCTGTGCAGGCTCGCACCCAACAACTACCAGAACTACCTGGCCTTCATTTTTGCCATAGAAGAGATCAACAGGAATCCTCATCTTTTACCTAACATTTCTCTGGGATATGAGTTCCACAGTTTCCTTTACAGTCATTGGAGGATTCTGGAGAATTCATTCATTTTGCTCACAGGTCAACATAAGACCCCTAATTACATGTGTGGGACAGAAAGCAAGTGTGCAGCAGTACTGACAGAATTGTCATGGGGAACCTCAGCTCAGGTTGGACCACTGATGGAACTCTACAAATTTCCACAGGTGAGGGTGAAAATGCAAGAAGTACAATATTGCTGTTTCAACTTCCCGCAGTATAAAGAGTTAAAAAGGGGGCAGGGATGAGCATTTCTCCCAGTGTGTAATGTACCAGAGTCAGCACACAGACACTTAGTGGATTACACAGGATTTCTTCTCTTCAATTTTTCTATCAAAAATGAAGATACAAACTATATATCCAACATGACTGAAAATATTCACTCATTGTTTAAAAATCCCTTGATGCATGAGGTGTTTATAAGGAGGAAAGAATATGTGTCTAACTGTATAACTCATGGAAATTCTTCAGTTACATATCTCAGGATTTCAATATTGATCAATACTTCAGTGATTAACATTTTTTTTCTGTTTAAGGTTACCTTTGGCTCATTTGACCCTACACTGACTGACAGTGGCCAGTATCGTTCTCTCCATCAGGTGGCCCCAAAGGACACTTACTTGGCCCTTGCCATGGTGTCCTTGATGCTTCATTTCCACTGGACTTGGGTGGGTCTTCTTATTACAGAAGGCCATAAGGGTCTTCAGTTTCTCTCAGATATAAGAGCTGAGATGGACAAAAACAGAGTCTGTGTAGCCTTTGTGAAAATGTTGTCAACTGCGGCTGTGTCATATATGTCAGCCATGAAGAAACATGATATCCTGACCGCGGATACAATATCTGCCAATGTGGTGGTCATTTACTATGATACTGATAGTGCAAATGACGTAAACTACAACATTGCACAAAACTTAGTGACATGGAAAATCTGGGTTTCAAACTCACGATGGCATGCTGATCTGACTGGAAGAGATTTTATACTGGACCCATTCCATGGGATTTTGGTTTTTGCACACCACCATGAAGAGATTTCAGGGTTCAAATCTTTTGTCCAGGCAGCTACCCCTTTCAAATACCCAGAAGACACTTACCTCTTTATGTACTGGTCCAAGAATTTTGATTGCTCATTCTCTGAGTCTGACTGTGCTTTGATCAACTGTATTCCTAATGCTTCTCTGGCTTGGTTGCCTCCGAATCGTTTTGACACAGTTATGAGTGATAGGAGTTACAATATGTACAATGCTGTGTATGCTGTAGCCCATGCTCTCCATGAGATGGTTTTTGAAGGAGTGATAACACATCCAAGGAGACATGCAAAAATAATGATGTTTTCCCCCTGGCAGGTAATGTCTTCCCTTGCATGGCAGGCAGTTTTATCTCGGTATCTCTCTCAAGTTTTCCCATGAATTTCACCCAAGCATGGCAGCGTCATTTGTACAAAATCTGAAGCAATGTGTATCATAGGCAATATTAAGGAGGAAATTTTTTAACTATGTTGAGATGATCTTCAATGAAGGAGCCCGTGGCCAGGAAGAGGAAAGAGAACGCCTGCTTGTTGCTTCTGCAAATTGGATATCAATTCCTTAGCCATGTAAAGGTGTTTTATAATTTTCTTAAAAGATAACCAGACAACCTGTACTTACTTATAACAGTAAATTGAGTTAAACTTGACATTGCAAATAATTAAATTTTGTTCAATTCTTCAGAATCTTCGGATACTGATAAACTCGCTTTATGGTAAATAGTGTTGGAATAGGCAGAACAAAATGAATGTTGTGTGTTTTAACTGATTCTGCAGCTGATGTTTTGCCCTAACCCAACTGTTTATCTCACTTAAATGGGCTTGCAAAGAATATGTTTTTGCTGAAACTGATCTTTCTGGAACATGGTGATAATGTAGTCCGCAGTCATTCATGTTTTACAGTTTAATAGATCTCAGTGTTAAAGTTGTTTCAAATGTATAGAAACAAATACTCTTAGAAACTTTCTTCCACCGGTATTTTCTGTCTTTCTCTTGGAGCTCGGTACACCTAAAACGATGTGTTTCTTTCAGCTGCATCGCTTTCTGAAGAATGTCCAATTTAGCAACCGTGCTGGGGACAAAGTGAACATAGATGACAGAAGAAAATTGGACTCACAGTATAATATTCTCAATTTTTGGAATTTTCCAGAAGGCCTTAGACTTATGGCCAAACTAGGCACATTTTCTTCTCATACTTCACATGGTCAGAAAATGGCTTTATCTGAGGATATCATAGAATGGGCCACAGGAGTTACCAAGGTATGTTACCCAATCATGTTACAAAGGAGTTACCAAGGTATGTTACCCAATCATGTTACCAAGGAGTTACCCAATCATGCTACACTTAATCAAAAGAAACTGAATATCTTCGTAGGTTTTCCCCAAAAAATTTTACTCATGCAATAATCATGTGTAGAAATTGAAGAAGTGAACATTAATATTCATTGTTTTTTATTTTAAAGAGATAAAAACTACACACAATACACTAAGGGAATATAAATGATTAATATAATTAATGATGTTATCAAAGTAGTATCTCATTACTTGATATATGCATGAAAAATTGATCACATAATATAAGCATAAACCATTCATTTAGATGATCTAATAAAAATGAGTAATACAATAACCTTAATTATGTTTTATATAAACACAAGATATACTTAGATGTTTCTTTATATAGATCTGTATCCTTACATGTATATCATTAAATATACATGTATACATATTCCCTTTAATGGTATTCTACATCTCTTCTGTTTCCAAATGCATTATCCAAATGTTTTCTAGCATCAGAGAGGTATGATAATGCTATTATTATAGGGATTGCATTCAATCTCTATAACAGTTTTGAGATTATAACCATTTTCATGATGTTGGTTCTTCATAATCATGAATAGGGGATATATTTTTATTTTCTTATATCATTTTCAAGATACTTTCATAGAGTACTGTGATTTGCAATGTATATATATTTTACTGTTTTGTTAGTTTCATACCTCTCTATTTCAATTTTTAGCATGCTACTGTGAATGGTGTAGTTTCCATACTTGGTCTCTCACTGAATTTGATATTCACATACAGCAATGCTATTGATTTCTGAATTTTTGACGTTAGATCCAACTATGCTATTGAATTCGGTTGTTAAATGTATAAGTCTTTGTGTGGAGTTTTTGGGGTACTCTGTGGAGAGTATCACAAGACCTTGACTAATGATAATTTACTTTCTATCTTTCCTATATTTATTCCTTTCGTTTCCTCCTCTTTTCTGATTGTTATTGCAGTGTTTCCAAACCAACTATGGAATAGGAGTGGTGACAATGGACATCCTTATCTTTTTACTAATTTTAGAGTTTTCATTATGTATCATTTTAGGACAATATTGGCTCTTGGTAGTCATAAATGGCTTTTATTTGGCTCAGGTATAGACCATGAATCCCAATTTTCTCTAGGGTTTTTTAGCATTAACATGTGTTGAACTATATTAAAGGCTTTATCTCCATCAATTGAGAAGAGTGTGTTTTTATACTGGAACTGTTAATATGGTGTATGTACTATATTCATTGATTTACACATGCTGAACCATCTTTGCATTCTTGGGATGAATCTCACTTGGTGATAGCATATAATCTTCTTAACAATTTGCTGTATTCTCTTTGCTACTATTTTATTGAGGATTTTTGCATCTATGTTCATTATGAAAATTGGCCTGTAGTTCCTCTTTCTGGTTGAGTCTTTTTCTAGTTCTTTTAGCAAGGTAATATTTGTCTCCAAAACTGAGTTAGGAAAATTTTTATATCATTTACGTTAAAGAGTTGGAGGAATATTCACCTTAGATGATCTCTTAATTTTTTGTAGAATTCAGTAATGAATCCATCAGGACTTGGGGCTTTCTTTGCTGCTATGTTTTTAATTATTGTTTATACAATTAAGTAATAATTGATTATTCCAAAAAATTATATCTTCCTGACTAATCTTTGGTAATTCATTTAGGAATCTATTCTTTGCCTCTCTGTTTTCCATTCTATTCCAGGAACGATTTTCAAAGTAGGTATTGATGATCTCTGTTTCCACAGTGATGTCACTCTTTTTATTGTTCATTGCCTGAATTTCAGTTTTCTTTTCTATTTGTTCACCATGCTGACTAGGACTGAACCAATTTCATTCATTCTTTCAAAACATGAATTCATTAATTCATCGCATTGTTTTCTTTGTCACTATTGTATTAATTTTACTATGATTTTCATAATTCCCTCTGTCCTTCAATGGACTTTTGACTTATCTTGTTCTTCCTTGTCTAGAAGCTTAAATGAGATTCTTAATTTTTAATTGTTCTGTTTTACTGATGTGAGAATTCACTATTATAAATTTGCCTCTGAGAAATGCTTTCATGGTGCTTCACAAAATTCTACTCTGCTGTATTTGCATTTTTTTGATTCTATATACAGTTTTATTTCTTCTTTAATTTCATCTGTGATCTCTTGGTTTTTCTGGTGAGTGTTAATTAATTTCTATCGGTTTATGAAGTTTTGTGATTTCTTTTGTCAATTTTGAATTTCCTTGCACTATGGTCAGTTAACATGCATTGGATAATGTCAATTCTTTATATTTATTTAATATTCTACGATTTAGTGCATATGGTCTGTTTTATAGCATGTCCCATGTGCATCTAATAAAAATATGTAATCCGATATTCTTCATTTGAATGCTCCATAAGAGCACACAATATGTTTGTTCACAGATTTGGTTTAGTTCTGCTGTTCTTTTGCTAATATTTCTCTGTAGTTGATCACTTTGTGTCAGTGAGATACTAAATGTGTTGTTGCTTTTTGATTTTTCCTGTCTAATAATATTTGTCTTATATATTTGTGTGCTCCTGTATTTGCTGCACACATATTTATGATGGTCATCCCCTCCTCTTAGACATCTCCATTAACAAGTAAGTAGTGCTTTTTAAGCATTCTTGGGTTGAAGTCCATATTATCTAAAACAGAATAGCTATCCCTGCCCTTTTCTGCAATTCTGTTCCATACAGTAATTTTACTACACCTTGTCTTTCTATCTGTGAGATTCTTTTTGTTTTAAATATGTTACACTTACACACAATAGTTTTGGAGCTTATCTTTTGATCCATTCTCCCAATCCACCTTTTCTAGTGGGAGAGTATGAGCCATTTATATGAATGGTTATAATAGATATGTATTGGCATCTCCTTTTCATATTATTTTTCTTCTGTTGGTTCTCTGCATTTTCACTTTACTTTTTCTATTGCCCTGCCTGATATATTCTTTCTTCTGTTCTTGAAACATACTCATCTGAATCTCTTTCTACAATACTTTCAGTACTCCTTATAGTGTTGAATCAGTAGTCATGAATTCCTTCAGGTGTTCTTTGTCATAGAAGTTTCTTACTTCTCTGTTTATTCTGAAAGACAGTTTGGAAGGATACATCAATCTGGTTTGAAAGTTGCTTTCTTAAGGAACATGTTATTCCTCCCTTCAAAATCTTCTTGACCTGAGTACTTGTATTGAGAATTTGTCCATGATCTTAAGGGGTTTTCATTTAAGTTGATTCATTTCTTTTCTCCAAAAGATGTCTTTTTGTTTTTAATTTATGGCATCTTATTTATTACATTTGTGGGTGCAGATGTTTTTGGTTATGGTTAATAAGAGTTATCTATGCTTCACTTATGTTTTTATCAGATTTTTTTCCCATGCTTTGGACATTTTCTTCTATTTCTGTCATAACTTTTCACTTCAATTTTTTCATTGCTACCTATCCATCTTATATGGTTTTCTTTGAATTATATTGAAGTTATTGAATTATTTCCTTCTCTCTGTTAATTTTAAGGAATCTTTATTTTTATAATAATTAGCCAAATTCTTGTCTTCCAGATGTGAAACTTTATCTTGTTTGCCAGGTTTTAATGGAGTTTTTAATATCCTAGATATCTCTTTAAACTTATTTTATGTATTCTATGTCTTCCTATAGGGTTCATTCCCATTTTCCTCTATTTTTTGTCTATGTCTTCTCTACATATGATGACCAATGCCTTCATTATGGATGTCATATCCGTTTTTAGCATGCAAGACTAGAGTGGACGTTGTAGCACACACCTGGAATCTCAGCTCTTGGCAGGCTATAAATAGGTGGATCATTATGAGTCTGATCTAGTAATAAGACCCTGAAAACACTGTAGACCCCTCCCTAAAACACAAAAAATAAAAAATAAACATGCAAGACTATTTCAGAGCTGATTTCCTCTATATGCACAGAGATTTAGGGGTTTTTTCCTCTCTACAGATGCCATTATCTCTAAAATCTATGGAATTTAGAGATACAAAATGAGATTACATTTTGATTGTTCACCTTGTCATTTATGTTTCAAGAGATTTTTATTTTGTTTTGTGTAATGATCATTGTGGAATTTTACATTAGGTGACCATATATCTAGTAGCAAGATCTCTCTAGAAAAAGGGTTCTTCAGGGATGTGTTCTGTGTGGAGAAATTTCTTTGTTTGTGTCTATCCTAGCTTTCCCATTGGTTACACATGTGATATTAGCATTGGTTTTGCTTCATTCTCAGTTCTCTGTTACCGGGCTGTGTGAGGATATTATCCCAGAACATCCCAGAATCATTCCAGAAGGGAGAACAACTCATTACAACAGACAGGATGTCTTAGCTAAAGTAGTACACTTAGCCTTCACAACATCAAGCACAATTAAGAAACTGACAAAGTGAAAACTATTGATTTGTATTTAGTTCATAAGAGAAAATTGTATAGCAATGAAACAGTGCTAGCTAAACTTGGAGTGCATATGCCAGCTGTTTTTCCCCTTGGTAGAGTGTTTTGCTTTTCTCTGTATGAGTGTGGGACTGGGAAATTTAGGAAAGATAGTGTACAAAACAAAAATAAGTGGAAGGGCTGGCGAGATAGCTCAGCACACTAAGTGCCTGTTTAGCCAAGCTCAGTGACCAAGGTTTAATCCGTTGTAACACTTGCTGCACAGGTCTGACCTCCGGGCAGACATACTCTGGTATGTTGAAGCATGCCTATAATCCAAGCACTTCGAAGGCTGAAAATAGTAGGATCACTAAGAGTGCAAGCTACATAGTGAGACACTGTATGACACATACATTACTGAATAGGTAAATGGAAATGAAAAACAAGCAAGGATAGATGACAAAGGATGGTCACATAATGTTTGGGAAAGTACAAAATGGGTAGCAAAGAAAGAATGAACGAGTACTCAAGGATTATTTGAAGTCAGTTCTATGTTTAGGGGATGGGATTAATATTTTGTGGCTGGAGGTTTTCTTAGCCAATTAAGAAACTGAGAAGAGAAGAGAAGAGAAGAGAAGAGAAGAGAAGAGAAGAGAAGAGAAGAGAAAGAAGAGAAGAGAAGAGAAGAGAAGAGAAGAGAAAGAGGAAGAGAAGAAAAAAAGAAGAGTAGGAGGAAAAGGAGAAGGAGAAGGAGAGGGAGAAAGAGAAGGAGAAGGAGAAGGAGGAGAGGAAGAAGAAGGAAGAAGAAGAAGAAGAAGAAGAAGAAGAAGAAGAAGAAGAAGAAGAAGAAGAAGAAGAAGAAGAAGAAGAAGAA